ACCCTGTCGCGCTTTTTAAAAAAAGCCTGTCGGCCTAGAGTAGAATTTGACAGACACTAAGATCTCCAGCGTCTACTTGGGTAGCATTATGTTTCGTATTTGTACCGCAGAGTCTCATAATACTAACGCAATCGATCACAATTATAGGAATTTAGTGGATCACACAACAGTGCACATCTGTCTCGATTTCTAGTTCACCTCTGAGCGCTACCGACGTGGTTCTGTCTGGCTGTGCACTGGTAGTGTGGTCGCACTGCAGCCTCGTTCTCCTACAAACACTGGACAGCGAGCGCCTACCCGTCCTTTGACTGCATTTCATAACCATCCAACGAGCTTTCCATAGCAGAATAGATTGAAACATCCGTCCGTCCATCCCATCTTCGCACTCTCCATCAATCGACAGCTGGATCGTTCCGCAACCGAATCACAACTTACAAGCTTTGATTCAAATCCTTGTACGTCGTCCCTCCAAGTAGTCCAGCAGTTCAAGGGCTTGCCGGATTTCTTGATGTTTCCAATGCTTCCGGCACCACCGCACCAGGACTATTGAACCTCTATACTACCGAAGTTTATTTTCTCATCAGGCTGCAGGAATATCATTCATGCTATGAATGCCTTTACCATTTTCGCAAACGAAGCTCAGTAACAAAGTCGACCAGCCTCCGATGCTCCCAAGTACGCCTGTCAAAACTGGGCCGACCATCTCTTGCGAGTTCGGAATTCATGGATAATCAACTCGATCATAAATTCCAGGCTTTCTGGAACCGTTATCTCCTATCCTGGCTTGAAAGGCGGTGGTGTTTGAAGGGTCTGCGGTCTTGCCTCGTTGTTTTATCTCAAGGGCAGAAGCTTGCAAAGGTGCGTGTACTTCCCACTATTCTCGCCATTCCCTCGCCAGACGTCCGAAACCTGATACTGCCCTGTATCAGGTTGATATCGTTAATTCTTAGCTCAACGCTTACTCGTTGGTTCTCTTTCTTTATATCTTTCCTACCTGAAACGGACACTTCACGTGATATGGATGCGCACGGGCCTGATCTTCGTAACTTAATTGGTATCTGTCATACGCGCATTCGGAATAGATTGTTTTGTCTAAAATGTGAAAACTCACTCAGTTCCAGCATTAGATTAGAAGGAACTATGATCTTACTTCTATAAATTTGGGGGTCTTACGCAGTACCGTCCCCATCAATAGATGTGATCTACCCATCTTTCCTCGCCCGATAAGGATCAGGCGAGTCGTTCATCCTCGCATTCTTGGTGTAAAATAGGGTTTCATAATCAGTACCACGTTGAGACTAAGACTTGAGTGCATGTTATGGAGGAGAAGCTGGAAGCCATGTCATCCGACTACAGCCGATGGACGAGTGAATCCAAGCTCAGCGCCTGATATAATTTGAAACTCGTTGGTCTTACTAGTACTGTACTTGAAGCTTGAAGCTTCGCGTTCACTGTTGACCAGCCTTGAGTTCCCACGTTCCTTCTTCTTTCCGAGGCACATCGTTTTCAGGAAGTAGATAGATTTAGAGGGCACTAATGGGCGCTTGATCGTTCATTGCGCGCAAATGAGTGTCCTTCTAAGGACCACGAGGTGGACCCCTGTGCTGAATCTGGCTTGCCAAAAACCTCTCACTCACCTACGGATCGGACGGGTATGCATTCCCGCATATCCTCATCACACCGACGGCAACGGCGTATACAAATGGTCATTTCAAGGGCAAGCCCTATAAGGCCGCGATCTATTCCCTCGAATGTAAAGGGAATTTCCAGAATTGCCACATGCGAAGGATTCAAGGTAACAAAGTGCAGAGATGAAGTTACTATGCTGGGTATACCACCACCGGGGGTAGCTCTGGTTGTGAAAAACAAGGCGATATGAAGTTCAAAATGAAAAAAAAGGGAATAAGGTGACCAAAGCGACGACACGACCAGCCTGTCATCACAGTTGATCACAGTTGGCAATCCGTGCGACATACACTGAAAAGTACAGTGGGATGGTGGACGTCAAGGAATTTACTCGTCACACCAAGGGAGGTCGCCGTCGGGGTTGGCAGGAGTAGCGGTTGGAGGGATAGAAGTGGCGGGGGTAGTTCCGGCGGGAGCAGGAGGGACTTGGACAGTGTTCGCTGTACACAATACCTAAACGAGACCCTTAGCAACTGTATTGGAACTGGGAAATATTGAGGTACCTCTCCAATGTAAATGTTGCTGCAATACTCGTCGATCTGCGGGTTGTTTTCATAGAGGATGGTGGTGTTGATGCCTGCGGCGGAGGAGATAATGTCGCAGTCATCGTTTTGTTGGACTACATAAGTGGTCGTGCAGTCCTCTCCCTGCCACCCAAGGCAGTAACTCTGGCCAACGACAAGGTTGTCGCATGCTTCATCAATGATTCCGACGTTGACGACAGCAAGCTGGTAGCTGCAGGAATAAAATTGTCAGCAGAGGATTTTCAACAAGAACTGAGCTTGGCGTACGTGGAAACATCGTTGGCTGCTGAGATACTGTCACAAATATCGCCAGCCTGAGCGGTGTAATAACGAGTACAGGTGTCTGCGGAAACAACTACAAAACAGAAAAAATCGCGTGATGAATCAACCGTAAAGACGCAACAAAAAAAATGAAATACTAACGTTGTGCCACGAAGGGCAAGGCGAGGATAGCAGCAATTGCTTTGGTGAACATTGCGTTTGAAAGAATGAGTGAACGACTGAAAAAAATGAGTGTGCAATCAAGGAAAGACGAGGTCAGCGGCGAGCTCAAGGTGAAGAGACGTGAGATGAAAGAGGCGGAGCAACTTGAGAATGAGTTCAAACTTGATTATAATACATATGCCTTCTATACTTGGGTCAACGGGACCAATGCATGGCAACCGTTCCCTATGATTCCAATATGGATCGGTTTCATCATGATCTGTCAATGTAATTATCATTAAAAAGAGCGCTGCGTCGGGCTATATGTTCCGGATTGTGATCCAGTGCGTACTGCATGCCTGAACATAGTCTTTGATATTTTTGAAGGCGTCCACAGTACAGAGAGGGCTCGCAAGGCAACAATAATTAAAATTATTCAAAACAATACCGCGTGTCTCAGACTCTCAGGCCTCAGGGCTGTGCCCCGGCCCCCGTCACCGCCAGCTGTCAGGGCCGGTCGGACTTCGCCGACACTTAAGTCCTGCATTAAAATCCAGATTTTATGTGCAAGCAGACGGACTGTCTCAGATCTCTTTTCCGTCTTCTATAAGTCTGGCTAGACGTCAGCCTGATGATGGAAACAAGTGATGGATGTGGGTATGCGCCATCTGCCGACTCTCACGCCAGCCGACGACAGGACGTGGATCGTAAAGCTCATCTTGGTTAACGAGGCAATAAATACTTGGCGAAGACATGAACGCGGAAAATTCATGAAACAAATGTAGGTCACTCTTTATCGCCATCAACCGCCCGAACCTCTCCCGGTTGAATATCCCCCGGCCCAGGCCCACCGAAGCCAAACATACTACTGAGCGATGCTCTTAGCGCATCATATGCAGCCTGATGCGGCGCTGGATGTATGGAATTGATGGTATGCGTCTGTATCAGCCCAGAAATAGGCGAAAAGCTGTACGTCGAGTCTCTACTTGATCATGATCAGCAAGAATTAGGGCTGATGGTAAAGATCCTGACATCTGCCATTGCCCAACGCCACCGCTGACGCGTGTCGTACCATACACATCCAAGCCAATAAGGAGACTCTTGTCTCGCTGGTGATTCGAGTGGCTTCCGACTGCAGCGCCTTCTGAATGCGCGGACGGCGATCCTTGCACCGCCACCTTGCGTAGCTCTACGCGAAGGTCTGAGTACAATGTTCTCATTGTGTGCCGGATAAAGACAGATGAAGCCAGGTACAGCGGCAGTCCTGAGGAAAGCCATCGTTATCTTTAATGACGGGAACGTAATATAGGCACATTACCAACCTTCCAGGCCAAGTGTTCTTGGAAATGGCGAAGGAAGGGCGACAGGGGGAGTGTACGTCAACCTCACTTTGGGACTGTAAATGCTTTCCACTTCCAGCGAATCTGATTCTCTGGAATTAATGAGTGTCGGTGTCTTTGTGGGGTCTATGCTTGAGACAAGGCCGACATCGAAGAAGTCAGGAAGCGTTTGCTGTAGGATATAGATAGCGCGGCCTATACGATAACGAAGAAAAAGGAACGATGATTATAGGGAGATCTGATTGTAGCATCAGTGCGTCTCCCAAGGGCAGCATGCCTGACTGACCTGTCCGGATTTGCCATTCACTGTCGGATATATCTTCGGAACCGCCAGAACTCCCTTTATTTGGCGTAAACATAGGAGGACTAAGGCCCTCAGAAAAGAAGAGATCATAGCGCTCGTTCGTTGGCTGGACGCCAAGGGACGGAGAAGCCTTAGGAGTTGCAGTTGACAACCGTCGTAAATGTGTAGACAGATATTTAGGAAATGAAGGAAAGCGATTTTGTGAGATCAATGCACTTGATGATAATTTCGAGCAATTGTGGAGACCATGCCGCATCATGGTGGAGGTACTTGGTGCAACGCGTAGACGCATTCGACAAAGTGCCGAGTTGTTTGGCAACATCAGAAATAAACACCGCCACGTGTTTCCTTTCTGATCATGGTCAAAACCTTCCTGTTAACGAAAAATTGCAACGCACTATCAAACCTCCTCAAGATAACCTTGCACAATAAGGTGTTCGATATCAGCCCTTCTAACCATGAATCTCTGCCCCTTCTGAAAATCGATGGTCCCAAGCTCTGTCTGTATGATCCCACAATCCCTGATAACGTGAACCAGCACATGCAAGTCTTTGGGCGGATGGGTGATACTGGCTGTGATATCGAGCTCGTTGGAAAAACCAGCACGATAATCCATCACAGACGTGCTGTACTGGCGAAGGAAGTCGACTTCATGAGGAGAGAGTTTGCCGCGAATATCCTGATTGCTCAAAATATGCGGTAAAGCGCCTCCAGTGGTCCAATACATATCGCGCAATCTATCCATACGGTGCTTGTGATATGCTAGGAGACATCTCTTGTTTCGTACAATGGTTGTTTGATAGATGAGCATCGCTGGAGTGACGTTCTGACTGGTTTCGGTCATTTTTTCGAGATCGCGTTGTTCCCGGATGATGGATCGAACAAGATTGTCGTTATATTTGAGAAGAGTGTCTGTTAGGGTCGATCTACGAGATTCCGCGATGAGCTGAGTGGCAAGATCACCGAACTGACGCGTGTCCGTCATGGCGAAGGTCAAAAAGACACGAATGTCACAGTGTGACAAATGTGTGACTGTACGCGTTGATTTGTCACCTTTACTTATCAGTTGCCGCTTTCAGCTACAGCCTTTACTTTCGACCATCATGTCTAGTCAGGACTCTCAGGACATCGAGACTGCAACCACTGCAATAGAGTATGGTCTCTTTAGCAAACTAAAACTTGTCTGCTGACCAGACATAGGTCTGCGCCAGACACCAAAACACGAAGATATGATCGTCAGCTCCGGTAAGATTACTTCAGGAGAACTATACAAATGAGGCCCAATTGACATTTGCGAACAAGCCTGTGGGCAGCAACTGGACAAAGTGCATTAGAGTCTTCTCGGGTACTGTTGATATCCGGATCCGCCACTTCAACTTCAATCTTGAAGAACCTTGTTCTTCCTGGCATCGGGCACTTCACTATCCTTGATCACGCCAAGGTGTCACACTCCGATGCCGGAAATAACTTCTTCCTAGAAGGATACAATAGTATTGGAAAATATAGAGCAGAGGAGGCTGTCCGACTTCTGGGCGAGCTAAATGACAGTGTTAAAGGTTGCGCAGACACTAGAACTCTCGAGAGCATCCTCGAGTCGGACCCGAGTGGATCACTTCATTCACTATCGTCATTGCCCATAACCTAGATCACACACTCTTGAACAAGCTTTCTGCACTCCTTTGGAAAGATACGAAATACCCGCCTCTTGTGGTCGTCCGGTCAGCTGGATTCCTGGCAGATTTCTATATTCAATTCGTGAACACACAAGTACGTATGGATTTGTGTTCTTGAGTATGCTTATGACGTTTTCAAGTCATCGAGAGTCACTCAGAAACGTCTCCTTCCCTCCGCATCGACAAACCATTCCCAGCTTTGAGAGAACACGCGCTGTCGCTGGAGTTTGAGAAGATGGATTCTACAGAGCACGGACACATACCATACGTGGTGATCTTAGTTCGTGCGCTTGAGAATTGGAAGGAATCTGTAAGTTTGCCCTTGTTCAGGTTGAATGCATGTTCACGAGGGATCATACAGCATGGTGGTAGTCTACCGAAATCATACGAAGAACGACAACAGTTCAGGGAAGGTGTCCTCGCACTGAAAGTGAAGGAGGATGAAGAAAACTTTGACGAAGCAGAAGCACAGGCATACAGATGTTGGACAGAAACGAAGGTTTTTCACTGTTCCATCTACCTCGAGTTTTAGTATAACTGTTCCGTTAGGTTCCTTCGGAAATCACGGCCCTTTTTAGTGACCCCGCGCTATCCACTGAAGCCATGGACAGCAATCGGTCGCCTTTCTTCCATCTCCTCGCTGCCCTGAAGGAGTACACAGAACAATGCGATACACACACGCTCCCTCTTACATCAACCCTACCAGATATGAAGTCTGACACCCATAACTACATACGTTTGCAGCGACTTTACAAAACAAGAGCGGAGGAAGAAAAACAGGCTTTCAAGAGCTATCTCCGAGTACCAGTCGACGACGCCATGGTTGATTCATTTGTCAAGAATGCACATGCACTGGTCGTTCTTAGAGGCAAACCTTGGGGTACATTCAATGAAGACAAAGCTGCTCTAGGTAACACTCTGGGATCTTGCATTGGCTCAGACTGCTTACTTTCGTCTGTTGGGTTAGTAAAGTCGTTATCTGCGATGCCGAAGGAGACATGCATACATCTAGCTCTCTCTGCGCTTTCGTTGCTTCAAGTGGGCGACACCTCGGTGTCACCATCCGCAGAGTCCATTCGTGCAAAGATTCAAACCATTGTTGGACAGTCCACTGAGCTTCCTGCTGATGCTGACAATGCCATTGGTGAGATGTGAGTAGGGTTTTCTTGGTTTAAGGTTATGGCTCATGTCACTATATTAGTGCTCGAGCACCTTTTTCCGAGCTGCCTAACACTGCAGCTTTCCTTGGTGGCATGGTTGCTCAAGAGGTGATCAAGATGATCACTAAGCAATACGTGCCTGTGAAGGGTTACTGTGTAATCGACTTGATTGACACATGGACAGGAACTATTGGCGCTTGAAACATCTATGGAATCATACTTGTGTAAATAGCCGTCCACGGACAATACTTTCCATCGAGGATATCAAAGTTTATCTTTGTCGCCGGTTTGAATGATTTCTGCGGCTTTGTGAGCCAGCCTAGAAAGATCTTCTCAGAACAAGTCGCAAGATCATTATCGATGACTTACCCATAAAGCGTGGCTTGAGGATGAGTTCCCAGGTGCTAAGATTACCCATATCAGTATGTCCAAGGCAACATCTTTCAGCCTTACGATTGGGAAGATGCTGGCGTCCGCCTGTGAAGTGCATGCTAATGAAGCTGAGCTCAGTTTGTCAACAGCGATATACACCCCACTCTCAGGTTGGTTGTCCCATACACCTGTAGAAAATCCGCGAGTTCGTCTCGCAGACAATTATACTCAAGGTTAATTTGACCTTTAGTTCGTTATCGACGACACCATTGGCGGATCGAGGGAGCATCGAGGCCGTCCCTTTCGAGGGGAAACTTGCATAAGAAAAGCTTGCAGCCTTCAAGTTAAACAACCTACCTATAGGACGGAATGCACTGCCGACATCTGAGCGAATGTAATCCATCAGTTCTTCATCTGACCAAAAAGGTTAATTTAGGTTCAATGATTTCCGCAGTCAAGTCGCCCAGAGCCCCTGTCTCCATGAACCACTAAGAACTTTGCCTCTAGGGATTGGCATCTTCCGATTCTGAGCAAATGGTTGAGGTTTTATGACGAAATTCCAGTCATATTCGGGATCTAGACTCGAACTGTGATGCGTTGTCTTTAAAGCACACCTCCAGATTTACTTCCAACTGTCCTGCCGACCATATTGCCTTTACCAAGAGAAATTGAAAAAAAACCATGAATACAAGATCAATCAGTCACTGGACCCCTTAATACCGGGGACAAGAATGATCTCATCATTCTTCCTTAGACCTGCATCAATGACTCCTACGCAAGCGCTAGCATTAGTTGACAGGCTACAACATCCTAAAGTTTAATTTGAAGAACAGAGATAAGCGTGTACATTGAGGCCAATGCAAGGCCAGTTCAACTTCCGCCCCCTGAAAAACCTTGTATCTACAAGTCGCACACAGGCATAACTTGACATCCCCATAATGATATAATCAAAATCCTGTTGAGAGAAGTCTGCAGCAGACACTATCATGTACCCAGGAGCTGAGAGGGGTAAGGGTTATCATATATAGAGCTCAGGATTCTTATACACCTTGAAGGAGCTCAAAAATCCTCTACAATATGCCGTGAATTGTGAAATGTCACACAATGCCGACTTAACCTTACTATGATCATTCTGTCGTAAGTTACCTATGCGAACCCTAAACCTTTCCTATTTTGTCGAGAAGTTGGTATCAGCATCAGCTAACAGCCTGCTGAATCAGTCGGTGGTCTTGGAATATTGTTATAGGATAGGATTGCTGTAACAGGCGAACCGCGGGTTTATGTAAGAGAGTCGTTGGAGAGCTTGACATCGTAACCGTAAGTGCATTCCAGAATGGTCATTGTATCATACCCATGTGTTCAGGAGGGACGAAATTTCACAAGGAGTGACCAAATTGAATTACCCATTCATTGCCACCGATGCACGATTCGAAGCACTGACGGTGAAAATTCCATAGTCAGCAAACTCAAATGATAAACGTTTATCAATGTCATGTTACCTGCAGAACTAGCAGTCTAAGCTTGATTGTGGTTAGCGCCACCGACTGTCTCACCGTCTCCAGACATCACACCAAACTCGTGTGGACACGATAACATTTCCGCTGAAGACGTCGATAGGTATGTGGGGAAGACCGGCACCTTGTTCACCGGAAGACTAAATAGTATGCGAGAAGCAAGAACGCTGTGCACAACAATCTGAGGCCTAAAATGGAGGAATGAGCTTCGGGGATATACATATACATGTATGATCGACCAGACTAACGTGATTAGCATGTCGCTGAACGAGAGCTAGGAATCTACTCAGTTCGTCGAGATCAAGTCAACAAAGAAAGAACTCA